CCCTCCCTTCTTCCAAAGAGCTCCAGAGAGCAAGTGAAGAGAGTGGATGATTTCTTTCCTGTCATCCCAGCAGCCCCGTAAGAGAGATGAGGGTGGCAAATGTAGTCCTGTGCAGGCCCCAGGGAGGTTATAAGCCAGCACATCTGGAAGACCCCAGATTGGGGAGAATCGCCCAGGCTTAACAAGGCAACCAAAGGGAGCCAGCGGGAGAAAATAGGAACTTGCTGAAGGGGAGGCCCGTGGCACCGATGCCCAAGGATCCTGGCATCGTGCAGTGCAAGTTCTGAGGAAAAAGAGGTCTGGAGGTGAATTGCACGACCAACCTTTATTGCAGGTCCTTAAAGTAAGATTGCAGTTAGTGCAAAGGTCCGCCGGAGGAGAATTACTTATTTATTTATTTGTGTGTGCTGCTGGGTGCCAGGGCAAGCTTGTGACCTTTGCCTTTGATGCCATTTCCCCGAGACATTTCTGCAAATGGCTCTTTCGACTGTGCCACAGTGGCAGCCTCCCAGGACCCGTCCAGGGGTTCCTTGGTAGGGTGGCCCGAACCAGCAACTCGGAAAAAGTTTCTTTTTGAATTTGCTGCTGGCAGCTCGGCCCCTTTCTTTCGGCAGGAAGGGGAAATGAGTCAGAAAAGCACCGAGAAACTAGGGCAGAGGGAGAAGCGCTCCTTTTAACTGACGAACGGGCACCGGCGGGGCCTTGCCCACTGAAGAGCCAGCTCCTGGCCTGCTCTGGGGCCTCCCTGAACCCCCACTCCTAAAGCACGGACACGGGGAGAGCTGGCTTGTCCTGCGCGACCGTTTTCTGATGGGACTCTGCTATTGTTCTCCGGGACTTGATGCATCCTGTGTTTCTTTCAACGGTAGCCTTTAGAAACAATGAAGTTTCCTGTGTATCCCCCAGGCTGGGATCCGTGGACAATGCGGGCTGCAGAGGAAAGCCAGGGAGAGAAACTGTCTTTTCCCCTCCCCTCGCTTGGCAGAGACAAGGAAGCAGCGTGGCAACGTGGTCTGGACGTTGCCGCGTCTGGCATGGAGCAAAGCTCAGCGGGAGGCTGAGATTCAAGTCTCCCTGCTTCAAAGGCGACGAAGCAGCCTCTGCTTGGTGGGGCCTCTGCTGGACCATCTTCAGAAGCTGGATGGTCTGCTGACCAAAGATGGACTTTGCACGCAGGCAGAGAAGTGCTTTGGGCTTTACCACCGCCGCCGCTGCCTGGCATGTCCTCAGAAAGAGAAGTTTCTAGGAAGTTCCCTTATTTGAGCTACTTTGTATTTTAGGGTTATTGTACATCCAAACGTTGGAGAGGGCTTCCTTCAGTCGACGATGCCAGGCTAAAAGAGGGTCGATGAGCAGGGTGGGGGAAGTATCTTGGGGTGTTGCACAGATCTTTCACTGAGAATGGTCCAGGGTATTTTGTGAATTCCCAAACAGGTTAATTCGGTAAGACTGAAATTTGTAGCAAAAAGGAAGCCAGGGAGCACTTTCCAGATGTTTCCAGAGCAGTGTTCCTCAACCTTGGCAACTTTAAGATGGGTGGACTTCATCTCCCAGAATTCCCCAGCCAGCATGTATGGACTTCAGTTCCCAGAATTCCCCAGCCAGCATGGGTTAGGGGTGTAGCATATGCAGACACAGCCACTGTGGCTTATTATCTGGGGTTATTATATTGTGTGAACCCTCCTTAAAGATCCATCTTTTGCGATGAAACCAGTGAATTGAAGCCAAATTGCCTGTCGATGGTCTCATCCAGCAAGTTTTATTTGTACAATGTGAGAAAACTCCAGATCACATAAAGATGCATGTTGGAACCGTAGTTGGGCCTCTTGCAGCCCACCTTCTTCTAGATGTTTCGCAAAGTAAAGGGTAAAAGAAAGATGGCCCTATGCTCCGTTGCTGGAAATACTCGTACCCCTCTTAATTTCACGAGTGTACGACTGGGAAGCCCTAGCAGGAAATGGCAGTATCTGGATGGGATACCACCCAGCAATTCCCCAGAGCTGTTGGCTAAACTGGGTTGGTGCACAAACATTTTCCAAAGAGAGCATCCGCAGCCAAGCTCAACTTGATGGAGCTGCTCGTTTGCAAAACCTGTTTGGGACGGCTGGAATGGGAGGGGGGAGTTTACCTGTCCCCTTCCCCCTTTGTTCGCATGGCCTCCCCTCTGTGCACGTGCAGTGAGACACAGAAGAGTCGGTGTGTTGGGGTGGGGGGAAGACGAGGGAGCAGGGTATTGT